TAAGTAAGAGTAATATGTGTACATTCCGTTTTCGAGTTTAAGCAAATCCATCTTATCGTGGAACAGGATTTTGACGAAAAGAATCTTCGAATTCAAGCTTAATCCTCAACGTGAGATTTCTCATGAAATGGGTGATTTCTTCACCCCCGAGCGACTCGACTCTTCTTCGTTCAAGAATCCTCGCATCATAAAATCTTCTTGCCATGTTTCCGATACAAAGAATTCCTTACTATCGAAACTTCGCTTTTTCTGAAGAGTTGGAGCCGGGTGATCCCTGGTCCTGAGCACTGGTCCCGGACCGTGAGGTTCCAGCCTCCTGGTCAGCAGCTAAGAGCGTTGGAACGGCACGACGGCCGTCCGTACTCTCCCTCTGCCGCGAAGCTGGACATCTGCGTGAACCTGCTCGGGACGGGACCGAGCAACCGGGCGAGCCGGTCCAAGAGCCGCTCATTGCGATGCATGGTGGTTGCGTTCGGCCTTGTGACATGTCCAACCACTGCCCCGCCTCCGACGTCTCCTGACTGGAACGTCGGCGTCAGCGACAGCAGCAGCAGGTGGCGCCACCACCACTTCTACGGGCAAGCCCGCAGGAGCAGCAGCTGCAACACGTGCCGCTTCCATCCTCCGACGCCGCCGCGTCCGCTCCACACGACCTTCCCGCGCCGTTTCCGTGGCAGTTAGTTCCTGCAAATGTTCATACAACCACACATCATACTCAGCAGTACCGTACCGTATGGGGCGTCTCACCACACGTCGCGGGTATGGCGCACGAGCGACAGATGCATCATGTGATGGTGGTGCCGTGTGAGATGTTTCACCCTCCTTGGAATCCCAGACCCGCCACTGAACAATTACATATCTTGGGAGCAGAGAACAATGAACAAAAATGTCGCCTTTTCACATGGCACCCAAAACAAAGATTGCAGAGAAGGTAGATGAGCTGTAGGGTGTGGAGAGGGAGGCGGAGGAGCCATTAAAATATTAAGTCATCCACTATTTTGCGCAGTTTGCTGTTTTTGGCCATCTTTGTTAAAAAATCTTGGCTACACCACTGTTTTTGGGTGTTTTCTGACCATATTATTATGTGATTGAAAATAGGAGATTTGGGGATATTTTTTTGGGACAACCAGAAATTGTTGCGGACAACCTGATTTGATGCCTGGGTTTTCTTCTTATTTTTTTTTCTTATTTCGAGCACTGCCGTATATGATGAATAAATCTATCAGTTGTATAAATACTATCTAAAGACTTGCGTTCATTTCACTCTGGGTTTTCCCGCTACTGCATCACCGTCCTACCTTCGCGGTAGGTGCGAAAAATGATCCCGAAACAAATAAATTCCACGTGCTAACCACAGCGCGTGGGAAAATCCAGTGTGGTCACCCCTAGCGCGACCACAGGATTTTTGGGATTGTGAGAATAGATACATCTGAGATTCCATACCTGGCAGGGCCAAAAGGTTCTCTAAGATGAGACGTTTTAATGAGAGACTCTCTCTTGGTCTCATCCCAGTCTGTGGAAGATGCTGACAGCCTCCAGAACTTGGTAGTCCTTTCTATCAAGTTGGCGGTGTCCGATGGGAAGTTGTTTATCCTCATCGCAAATCCAATAGACCAGATGTAGTGGGCCATCTTAGTCTTGCTCCACTTGGACGGGATGATGGCAGCAGCTCCAGGAAATTGGAGAGTAGTCGGTAGGTCCTCCATCACACGGAAATGCTGATACTTGTACTTGGAACTTAGGATGATTTTCCCAAGTCTCTATTATGCACTCTTGTGAGTATTCATCAGGGTATGCTGGCAGCATTGTGAAGGGGCGTTTCGGATGTCCACCTCTGCACCTGGCACCATTCCGGGCTTGAACCATCCACAGATTGTCCATCCAACACCCGCTTCATGGTAAAAGTTTACGATCTCCTGGCATGCTTCTCTCACTTTCACATGGTCAATCAGGTCTCCTGCATTTACCTGCAAATAAATAAGATTGTTGGTTCATTAAATACATGTCTTGTGAAATACGCATGTAACCATTAACTTACAGATTTCACATATAACCAGAAACTTTTCTCACTTGCTTTCAACTAATTCGTTACACATTCTTAATATTAGCAACATTGACTACATGCATTCAACCAATTCGTGACAGATTTCAGAGACATTCAACCAATGACTTACAGGTTTCAGATAAGAAATATGGACACGGTTGTAATTTCTTTACATGTTGCCCTTTGCCGACAGTTGTTTTAGGATTCCTAAATATTGCCGTTTCACTGGTTTTTTCGCCGGATGGGCTCATTGCTAATTACCCCATCCGATTTAGTTCCCCTGCTACATTTAGTTAATGGAATGGCCGACTTTTGTAACTGCCGAGCATGTAAGTGTCTCAAAGTACCTTGCTACATTCCTCCTCCATCAGTAGATTGGTCAAGGCTCCTGATTGGAATTTCGCACTGGTGATGCCAGCAGCCCGCGACGACACAACACATCGCAGGAGCAGCTTGTTGGGTGTTCCGCTTGTCAAGGCGCAACAGCGTTCCGAAACGCCATGCTGCCCGTCGCACATTGCTGCACCACATCCCTCTACAACGTTTACTCTCAGGAAATGCAAGTCGGCATTGCGCACATACAGTGCCTTCGTGCTCCCACTCACCGCCCACTCGCTCAGGTATGGGGTTAGCAGTGTTGGTGGTGCCCCAACACTGGTTCTGCAGTGGTAGCAATGGTTGCTCTGTACTAAGAGCTGCCAATACAGCAACTACAAATTCAAATTTGGGTTCGTAGATGCAGATGGCCATGCCTTCTGCAGTCCTTCATGAGGAACAGTTGCAGGGCTTCAATAATCTCTCAGGATTTCTAGTCATATGCCAATTGACACCATCAAACACAGGTCTACATTGGCAAAACTCACACCTAGAAAAAGTAAAGGCCCACTCTAATTTCGTTGACATACCAAACCTTTCAAAATAAATCATGCCCAATGTCTTACGCCTATCCTTCCTGTCCATAGTTATAACAGAATCATCACCATCAAGATATATAGATCCAGTAATGCCACAACTATCCAAGTATTGCTTCAACATGGCATAATTCAATATTGAGTTCCCTAGCCCAGTATTTTGATCACCCGAACACCGTGTACCTGGAGTAAAATACTTCAAGCCATTAACAGTACTGCCTCTATTTTTCAACTGCATTTTTAACAACTTTTGCAGTTCACTTGGCCATTTAAAACACTTCTCATACATCCAATGTTCTTCTTGTAACAATTGAGCACTTACATGAGCATCAAACTTACTATGATCTAGTAGCATCCACACAGGTTGTGCATATCTACTAGCATGATCAGCCAGATCTCGTGCACGCTGATCTTGATTACGACCTTTAGCGAATATTCGATCTCCATTATGATCTTCCTTGACATAAACTGCCGCCTCTACTGGATGTAAATAACTACCTAGAAGCAACCCGTAACGCTTATTACGGTATTGTATGCATCTAGGTGCCTTATAACTACCACTTTGATATTTATCATCCTTTAAAAACATACGCACTCTCCCATCATATCTACTAGTTGGGTTGTATTGTAAATCTAATTTAGCACGTTCCATCTCTCGCTGTTTCGCTCCACTGTAATGTGCTACCACCCGCTCCTCAGTCCAAGGGCTGAGTGGTGTAATAAAACTTCTAAGGTACTTCCGCAGGCCACGACAACTGGAGGAATCCGGAATGGGTCCCTGGACCTGGTGCCGGCTCAACAACGCAACTCGCTCATTACAAACACAAGCAGTATGCGTATAAACATAGCCGTTCTCCCCAGGTACAGTTACTAACTGTCGTGTCTCACGCTTGCCACAATCCACATGAACCACCCGAGCTGGAGTCTTTATCCAAGATCCTTTGATAAGCGGATGTACATCTCTGTAACCCCGCATACAAAGGGCCGGAACAACTCGGGTGTCCTATGCGGACTTCGTAGGTAAACGAAACTACTTATGTTGAACGTTTACCCACCGATTGCCCAACTTTCCTAGTTGAAGCATCTCTGCCTGCTTGTGGACGGCTCGATTAAATTCCGGATCCTTTAAGGACCGGCGAATCTCCTCCTCCACAGGCATAACTCGAAACGCTTCACCTACCGCTCTCGCAATCATATTCCTTCGCTCTCTCCAAGTAATGTGACCAGTGTCAAATTTAGTGAGAAAATTTTTAGCCTTGCCCACCAGTTGTGGCAACATATCTGGTGTCCTTGGCCTAAACATGATCTCAACTTGAAGAAATGCGACTAACTCCTCATCCACTTCTTGTCTTGCTATTTGGTTTTCACCAAAAAACCACGCTTTAAAATGCCTAACCTTAGTTTTCTTCTCACTACGCGTCATTCCAGCCACCAAAGATTTGATAGGCTTATCAAGTACTTCTGGATCATCTTTTAAGATACCAGATTGTCTAGTGAGATCACTACTAGGGCCAGCAAATGGTGGTAACATTTTCTCGACCTGTTTCTCTGTACCTGTGGACTTAGAATTAGACTCAACTTTGGCTGATCGTACACCAACATACGCTGCATTTCCACCTGCCAACAACGCACTTCCTTTAACAGCCAATAATTGAGCCACCAGCCGATCACAGCTGGATTTTAAGCTTTCGGGCGAACTGAGTTGCCTCGTCACAATGGACGTCTCGCAACTCCCACAGCCACTGCCTGACGGTGATGGGGTTGAGTCCATCGACGAACATCGCGAACTCCCAAGAGAGGTTATAGGCCTCTTCCCGACTGTACAACTTCCAGAGGCGCTTGATTGTTCTCCTCTTAGCTGCACCGGCACCCCGCCTCTGCTTGCGTGGTACCTCTGCCACCGTCTCAGTGACCTCTTCCGGCGCGATGGACTTCGCTTCTTGGGATACACCCCAGGCCGTACTAAGTTCTTGGACGTCCCTGCAACTACCACACTCCCTGATGAAGCTTGCTTGGGCCTTACGTGATCTTGTTGACCACCACTGTGGCAACCCAACGGCACCAAGCTCCTCGAGAATTTGTGGTCTAACATTAGGATCACCTTTAACCTGAATGATGAACTCCTCCATCAATTACTTACGGTAATGAATCGGTAGCCACGCTACGACGTTTAAATTTCCAGTGATAACGCTGGTAACGAATGGTAGACTTACCTGTCTATAGTTAGTTTCTCGTACGCAAGTCCTTCTCGGCTGGCTCAAGGTTCGTGATCTCACAGTATAGTGGAAGCGTCTATACGTTATCGCAAAGTAGACCCAGGACATGAAGTCACGGCAACCAATGTAGACTTAGAATCCTCGTCTTACAAGAAGTGTATAGAAATGTTAACACTTGATATTCACAAGCATAAGAAAGTCTAGACAGTGCCACAAGAAATAGATTTATTCAGGAAAGCTCCTGTAGTTAATAGAAATACACGTACTACAGTACACGGAAAGTGCTGATGATTTACACAGTGCGAGTACAATTTACACAGCTATAAGGTACTACGTTTAGAAATATAGGAAGTTATTGCACGTACTAAAGATAGCTCACTACGATAGAATAGATAAGAACACAAGACAGTTATAGGTATATAGTGGCATATAGATCTATGGTGCATGAAGAACCTTAAGCCATTAGTTAAGAAAGAACCCGCATACTCACGGACTGGATATCGATGCACGTTGCAACACGGACAATGTTAGCACTCGCACTGACTATGCTTGCGCGGACCGTCTTATATATACACGCTTAAATTTAGCGTCCCCAGACCCTCGTCCAAACAAGGAACCATCACGCACCCGAAACTAACC